ACAAGCAATTATTTAAAAATTAATTATTTTTAGATTCTATGTAATGTAAATAAAATTCAAAATATTGCTTCAGGCAACACTGATACATGTATTAAACTGATCGCACACGATCTTCACTCTTTGAGGTCAGAATAAAAATAAAGCAACTGGCAAAATTACGAACGCATAACAAAAGAGATAGCAAAAAAACCCCTCAAATTACGATTCGTGCGTCTTTTGCTACTTGACTGTTATGTGTAGTTAGTTTCTATCACCCAATTTACATGATGATTTTTTTTCATGTTTGCCCAGACGTCTGTTTTCATGTTTGTCGATGATTGGTGGTGAGCGGGGTAGAGAAGAATGGGGGGTAAGAAAACAAACATGATTTGGGATTTTCATGATTGTTTAATATAAATTACTTAATATTATTATATAATTAATTATATTATTATATAATTAATATAAAAAGTAAAATTTTATCGAAACACGATTTTTTATTTTCTTTTTTTTCTTTGACATATTTCAGAGTTTTTTCTCTTTTACTTATTAATTTTAAATTTTTTCTAATAACATTTAGTATAATTTTTTTTTTAAATAAATATTTACTAATTTAGAAGTATATTAATTTTAATGTATAATTTTAAAGTATTTTAAATAATCGTAATAATTAAAATTTTCTGATGTACATTATTTTTAAAACATTAACATCACTGTTTTTTCTTGTTTACATTTTTATGTATTTTATGTCAGCTGTTTATAGCTGTCACTTTGAATTCTATTTTCTACAGGTTCATCCGCAACGTAACTTCAACGTTACGGCAAAACTAACGACACAGGTTTCGTAAGCCAAAAACGAATCAGCTGATTCATCACGGAACGGAACGTAGAGACTAACTGAGCCTTTACTGTTTGAGTCAACCAAGTTGATGTGTCGCCAAGGCGCTTTAAATATCAGCAATTTGAAAAGCACCATAATAGTGCCTTTCCGTAAAAAGGCACTATAAGAAAAAATTTAGAACCTTTATAAATGGGGTATGAGCCGAGCCAAGTAGCTTAATTAGCTTATCTTTTTTTGTTATATTTTGGTGTATGATGCACAAACGTTTTAATACTTTTAGAAATAGTTTAATTCTATTAAATATAATGAATGTAATATGATTACATGACTTTCCCTAGCAAGGTAATCTTTTTTGTCAGGCAATTTAAAACCATAAATTTTATTAGACATATACATGTTCCTAATACATTGGTGTTTTTTCTCTATAATTCACATGTAAATATTGTGGTTTTGTTTCAAACAACGGGCGAGCAACAGGCGATCAACAATCTACAGATACATACTTATGTATATGTATGTCTGTAAAAGTTAAAAAATTTAGCTTACTTCACATTTTTTTGTTTTATACAAATCAATTTTTTTCTTGATTAATTTGTTTAAAAGAGTTTTAGGGTAATTACAAATATTTGAATATGCAATTGATTTGGGTCAACAACCCAGCTCCATGGAACTGTATACGTATTCAAATTCAAGGTTAAATACAACGGAAATTAATGTTACGGTTTTTATTAACACCCCAATAATTCTTCTACATTACTCATATAAACAAAAACTAATAAAATGCTATTTATGCAAGTCATCAGTTTCCAATTTAAAGTAAGTAATAAAGGTGCAAACAAAAATTAAAAAATTGTCTCCCTGCTTAAAATTGTTTGTATGTTCTTTTAACATTATTACATACGAAAAAGTTTTAATATTACTAATATAAAATTGAGTGTACTATTTTTATTTTTTATAAAAATTATATTTATTGAAAGAAATTGAAAAGGAAATTAAAATTCATTTTTATGATTATTTTTAAAACAAAAAAGTTTAAAGCAATGCACAGTGGTATAGGAAAAAAAGAGGGAAATAATTCGGTAACTTCTAAACGGTTAATCCGATGAGTCGAGTTTAGGTTTTGAATTTGGACCTTATAGGCCAACCAGGGGCCCGGCGGGGGTCCTCAAATTAGGACACCTCGGCTATGTTAAATTTTTAAAACGATCCTATTTCTTCATTTGAGTTCCGATTTAAAAAAATTTTGTATATAGAATCTCCTCATCGAGCACTATAAAAAATGCAGTAAATTATCTCTTATCGTTTAGGAGATATTCGCATTTGAAAATTAAAATTTTAAAATTTTTACCGTCCTTACTTTAGTTTTAAAAACAAGTTTATATATCAAGCAGTGAAAGAATTATGTAAAAATCATGACTGAGTCCAAAGTTATAGGCATTTTAATTTAAAAATTAAAAAAAGGCGATTTTTTGCCATTTTTTTGGGAAAAAAAGTATCTTTTTCTTTTTAAGTTATCTAAAAAGTTTCTAAGAAGATGTATATAGAACTTATACTTTTTTGGAAGCTGACTTTACATAAAATACGATAAATGAAACAAAACCTAAAAATTTTTGATACCGAGGGGACCAGGTCCATCCAAAAAAAAACATATTTTTTATGGAAAATTTAATTTTGAGCAAAAATTCTCAAATCGCATAGTCGATATCAAATTATAGTGACCTGTTTTATATGACCCAATATGTTCTTAATCATTTTGTAACGGTTTCGATAACCCCGCCCCTGGTATGGATATATAGGCAAAAAACTAAAAAATCCTATTTTTGGGATTTTTAAAACTTTTTTGGGAATTCCGGGATTTCTAATAAGAAAATTCGAAATTTTTATTTAATTTTGGATTTTGAGTAAAAAATCTACCTAACTGTAAAATTTCATCAAAAAATATTCATAAATAAAATTTTTATTGCAATTTGAAAAATTTGTATCTTCGCAAAAACTGAATAAAAAACATTTTTTAATTTTTTAAAAAAAAAAACATCTTTTAGAGAATTTACCTAGTACTATTATTTTCATCCATGTTAGGCATGTTTTACTACCTAAATTTTTATGAATTTTTACAGCCACTTTTTACGATTAATCTTTTATTCTTTATCCCTAAAAAAATTAACAAGTATTTATTTTATATAAAAATAGTCTTTATTTATTTTTTTTTATAAATTAATATAATTTTGTAAAATAATCGGTATCACAGTAGTCCATATCTAAAAGAAAGTAAATCTTTAAATTCATGAATATTTTCAAATGCTAACGTTTTGTAGCAAATCCAACGTTTCCTTATAGTAGATAAAACAGGATCAGAAGATAGAATCAGATTATTAAAAATATCTTCATTTTGAGACTGCCTAGAACACTTCCTTGAGCTAAACTGATGAATATGCTTAAAGTCTCTATTCCTCGATTCTTGGGGTTCTTCTGTAAGCTCTCCTAAAGGCAGAATATTATGTTCTATGATGACCTTTCCATGACATAATATCTTGTGAACTGTAGGTGTCATTTCTTTCCAGGGATATAATTCCAAAAGTAATTTAGAAACTTTTGTAGAATACTCTCCAAATTTTGTTGCGTTCACTTTATGCTTGCTATTTATCGCCATTAGAATAATATTGACCTTTTGCAGTAAATCCATATTAATTCAAGATGTTTGAAAAAACGTCTAGCGGTATTACCATCGTTTGTGCTTCCATATCCTGTGAGTGGTTTATCAATATTTAATCCCATCCGCTTTTTAAATTCCTCTTGAATTCTTCTTTCTCACTGGCTCTCATTTCCATTAACTCCTTATTGTTATTTGCACTTTTGTTTGCATTTTCCGGTATGCTTCTGTACTTTAAATCATATGCTAAATGTAGAAAATGTTCCAGAAATCGTATGCGAGCATGTAGGGGGGATATTCCAAATTGTAATGTTTCCTCATTTATTGACCTTTGCTTGGAAATATTCGAAAATTCTGATTTTTTATCACCACATATGTAGCAGTACCAAGTAGATGATGTTCCTGTAATGGCATTTCCAACTTTCCCATCAATCATTGTAAGTTTTAAATCATAGGACATGTTAAACGAATAATTTTCTATTTCGATTGTTATAGGTTCCAAGTTTTTAATTTCTGCTTCAATACGATTTATCAAATCTTGCGTTGTTGTTTTGGATTCCTTTATATACTCAAAGCTTATTGGCCTACAAAAAGCTTTGGATCCTGGAGTCGAATTCTTCCAAATATCATCGAAACTGGTTGATGGAGAATCGCTGTCAGCATACTTTCGAATTCTTAATGGAACTAGCGATGCCATAAATACACTTTTATACTCGGAAGATGATTCACTTGTGTTGATTTGTTTATATTCCGAGAGTGCTGATAATCCATCACATCCCCACTTACAAATGAGTTGAAGATCACAAGAATTTATTTTTTTTAGTTGGTCTGAAGAAAAGTCAGAAGCAATCCTTAAAGCAGTATTTTCGAGTAGAGCGCCGAGTCCAATAACAGCCTTCCGATCAGTTATTTCAATAGGATGGTATAATGCTTTTCTTCTTTTCATTTATTTTGTCATATGATGGTAAAACATCCACTCCTTTTTCAGATAGCGCCTTTCTTAACGTTATGTAGTTATCACGACTTAATCCCAGCTGCAACATAAGCGCAATAGCTTCTTCCTCAGTGAACGTTGTATCAGATGATGGTGTGGGTATACTCTTTACCACAGATATAACCAGATTTGTCAGAACTGACGTTTGTAATAAGCGATTATCAGCTGAGCTTACCCCCATAATATGAAAGAAAGAAAAAATATCACATATACGCACACTAATGTGAAAAAAAATATCAACCATATACTACCTTTTTACATGTGTTCAAAAATAAATAAATAAATAAACACAAAATTTATTGAAAAATTTTCACAATTTTTTATTTTTTTGTTTATTTATAAAAAAATAACAAAATGAACGCCAACGAAGTTGTACCTTGTGGAAAAATGGTAAGTAGTATCTGCAAATAAAGAAAAATACATTTTAATACGTTGTATTTGTAATAACATTAATTCTTTGTTTTTTTGGCAAGAAATTTTTAATATCTGGAAATTTTCTAATTGTGGCTCATTATTAGCAAAGTTTTTCTCTTTTCGTTTAAGGGTACACTATGGACAAAATTTTACAAATTTTGTCAAGGCTACTGACCTGGAAGCTAATGGACGAATTGGACCAAATCTCTCCTGGATCAGCGGTAAGTACCCTCAAGTGCCTGAAAATAAAACAAAAAAACAAAAATCATTATTAACAAAGTTTTTCTCTTTTCGTTTAAGGGTACACTATGGACAAAATTTTACAAATTTTGTCAAGGCTACTGACCTGGAAGCTAATGGACGAATTGGACCAAATCTCTCCTGGATCAGCGGTAAGTACCCTCAAGTGCCTGAAAATAAAAACAAAAAAACAAAAATCATTATTAACAAAGTTTTTCTCTTTTCGTTTAAGGGTACACTATGGACAAAATTTTACAAATTTTGTCAAGGCTACTGACCTGAAGCTAATGGACGAATTGGACCAAATCTCTCCTGGATCAGCGGTAAGTACCCTCAAGTGCCTGAAAATAAAACACATTTTACAAAATTAATTTGTCAAGGCTACTGACCTGAAGCTAATGGACCAATTGGACCAAATCATGCACGGAGTTCACTGAAATGGAAGCCATAAATATATTAAAATTTATAATTTTCAAATGTGTTACAATGTTCGGTTAATAAACTTACAATTAGTAATTGTAATTGTCAATTACAGTAATGATTACCAGTTTTTATTTTGTTGGATGATTTTTTATCGACCTTTTCTGGTCTAGATCCATCATGTTCTGTATTAAACAGCATCACCTCAAGTAGGTTGTGGTACTTCACCACGCATGATGGTCTTGAGTAAGTTTATGCTAGAATGCTGACGCATTTTATATTCGCTGTACTTACTCCTGGATTACAGTAAAACAAAGTTATAACCAAGATTCTTTTGGAAAATAATGTTTTTAATAGCTCATACTACAATACTACAACGTTGATTTTAATTCAAAATAATTATATATAGTATAAAAGTATATGTACACAAAACCTCTTAAACATTCAATATATAAATGATATAAACAAATTGCAAATGCAAAAAATAAAATATATTAAAGATATTACATTTTTAGAAAGATTGGTGAATGTATTTCGTGTAGTGGAAGTTTTTGTGAATTATGTTGGGTTTAAGTACTTTATATACATACATTTCATACACATTGAACTAAATTATAATAATGTATTGTTAATACCAGGTGTTATGTTTGTTAAGGTACGTTCACACCTATCAAATATTTGACGTTTTTTATCAAATATTTGTTGGCTGTAATGTGAACACAAAATATTTTTGAAGAGCAAACAAAATATCAGCTGCTTTTCGTGAAACATTTTTATTTGTCAACCTACAAATATTTTCTTAATGTGAACACAATGTGAACACCAAACATGAAACATTTTTGTTAAACGTTAAAAAAACTATTTAATAATATTTTTTACGATTTCATAGAAATTTCTGCCTAAAAACAAAAAATTAAATACATTTTTATTTCATAATGTGCTTAAAATGAGTATTTCTATTTTGACGTTTTGTTTGAAGAAACAAAGCCAAACACAATTCAATACCAATAGTAAAAGTTTGTTTGCCCGGTGTTCACATTACAACAAATAATTTCGTAAAACAATTGACGGATACAACAGTAAAAAAACAAGATTTTGTTTGCAGGCAAAGAGGAACATAACAACAAAACATCTAATGCGCAACCAAACCAAAAGCCAAAAATATATGTGTTTATATTTACTAAAAAGCTATATCATTGAATAATAACTTCTATATATTCTTAAAATTTCATTTAATATTGTTTTTCATCAAAATTTTACAACAAAAAAATACAAATTACATTTCAATACCTTGTGCAAGTGGAAAAGAGATAGATAGACACAAGGTGGAAAAGAGATAGATAGACACAAAAAGAGATAGATAGCACAAGGTATTGAAATTACATTTCAATACCTTGTGCAAGTGGAAAAGAGATAGATGGTGGATCTTTACTGTCATGTTGTTGCTATTTAGTATAGTCAATGTAGCGAAAAACCTTGGTTGTTTGGAACGGTTCATAGCGATTTCAAAAAAATCGCTATAAGCCCGGAAATAACCAAATTATAAATAATTTTCATTAAATTACATATCTATAAAATTGAAAATTATAGAGAATTGTTTATTATTAATATATTTTTATATCCATTAATATAATAAATAATTGTTTAAATAAATTGAGTAATAAATTAATTAAATAATTTCTCAATTAATTACTAAACTATAGACTAGATAATAACCTATAGACTAGACTATAAACAATACTATAAACTAGAGTATAGACAAGACTATAGACTAAACTATAGCTTGACTATAGACTAGACCAGCGGTTCCCCCGGGAATTTATTTAAATTCGCGGACCCCCATACATATTTTGATATCTTATTGTTCTAAATATGTAATTGTTCATCCGAAAATTGTCATAGTCCATAAATCCCAAGGTCAAACAGATGTAGATATGTCATTTCTATAAAATATTCCCGTACATTGAGAATAATTAATATTTCAGAGAAGTTTCAATTGCCTGTTTTTGAAGATAGAATGACTTCATTGTTGAAATGTTGACATGATGTTTAATTTTATGATCGTGAGATCTTTCACGTTCATTTTTCTTTAAAGTAACGAAAAGGTTTCTTCATAAAATATCGTCGACATGTGCTTAAAAAGTCATGTTGCAAAAATTTTTTGCGATTGCAGACGGGTGAACTGAGTATGTTAGCTAATTTTTCGGGAAAATAATATAAGAAAGTTGAACTTCTTCGATATTGTTGTGGAATGCGTTATCCGCATAATATATGACTTGAACTCTTTGCGAAAGTACTGTGAATTTTACTGCATGGTTTTGACTATTTACGCATTTTCTGATATTAATTTAATAATATTGGTCGACAAAATCAAGTTAAAATCTGTGTATCACGTCGGAATGGAATATTTATATTTAAAATTACCTGGATTAACGTATTGAAACCGAATAAAGAGTCACCTCTGTTTCGGAAATATATTATTTTAGTCCTTCCAAACAAGAACACTTTTGTTTACAATTTGACAAACTTAAATATGCGATAAGCTTGTCCTTGAATTATGAAATGTGTCCTAACTTCATACTCCGAGATAACAGTATCTCTTATTTAATTGTAATTTGGGAACCGTTGGACTAGACTGCAAACTAGACTATAGATGCATATATGTTATGTAGCATAACTATATATAGTATGTTGTTACCAACCAATAAATATCAAAACAAACAACAAAAATAATAATTATCATTAATTTACGCAATTGCTTGAATTTCAATTAAATGTCACAACTTTGTCTCAGATTTATATTTTATAAAAAATAAAATAAAACCAATCATATAAGCGACTATTTACATTTTTGTATGAGGTGATAACACTCATTTTCAGAAAATAAACAAAGAACAGCTGTCATTGACGCTGTTTGATCTTACATTTGGTTTGCAAGATCAAATAATTATTTTACCAAAATGACGTAAATTATTTGACTTTTGGTGTTCACATTGATGAAACAATGAGAAAATATTTATTTGCCAGCAAATCGATTTGTTTTATGAAAATCATCCGCATTGCTGTTTGTTAACATGAAATATTTTATGTTCAGATTCGACAAACAAAGTTTTTTCAATCGTGTTATACTTATATTAATATTATACACTTTTATTATAAAAATTTAATTTTAAACCTAATAAAAATAGTTAAAATTAAAACAAATTGCCAAATTGCTTTTTTCTTGCATGAAAATATACGATATTCTGTGGCTGCAAAACATGTGTGTGTTTGAACCAAATTATTTTTGCACTGTTTGATAAAACAATACCATCAAATATTTGTTCAAGTCTGAACATGAAATAAATATTGCGTTTGTTTGACGCAACTTTATAAATATTTTATAACAAATATTTGGACCAAATATTTTACAGGTCTGAACGTAGCTTTAGTGTTATTGTGTTAGCAAGCAAATTAGATGTGTGAGAAATAAATGTAATCCAATACCATATAATTGAAATGAAATTATGTAAAAATATATGCAAAATAATGATTAATAAAATTAATTAAAAAAATATATACAAAATATTAAAATAAAAAGCATCTTAACTAAGAAATGAATACTTCTGAACTAAAGCCTGTAAGATTGATAATATCTCATATATTGAAAGAATGATTTTAAATGATATTTAGATAATGTATCAAGTAAACAACTCTGTCCTTGCCTAATTGAAGTGGATCATTTGGAATAGAAGAAGTAGAATATTACAAGTGAGAGACGCAAAGATATTTTTGCTAGAAATTGGGTTCTTTCATTTTGGCATTAAAAAATCTAAGAATAAAATAAATTCTAATACGAATAAATAAATTTAAAATATCCTCATGTTTAATATTACCACAACAGAGATATGGTTGTACACTAACAAGCTCGTTAAAAATAATTTGAAGAAGGTTATCTCGATGGCAATTACTATCAAAAATACTCATGAATTTCCTCTCTAATTCTGAACAATAAGCAACGAACTCTTGAGGTGGTTTAACTAGGTGACAGTTTTCAAATTGTTTGGCAAAGGTGAAGCTATAATCTAACGGAATTTCTTCGTTGCTATCAAAATTTGGTAAGGGGTGATCACATAAATGCATTTTATGCAGTTTGAAATAAAAATATCCGCATATGTAAACAAATGCATTGTTTTCAAGGACAACACTTTCCTCCCTATCAAGACTACTATCATGAACATCTGACTCTCTAATGGATGGACAAGGATTTGGTAGAGAATGAAACTCATCCCATTGGGTATTATTAGCATCTAAACTATAAGCAAAATCTACTATGGAAAAATCTAATATTTTATCTTCCTGGGAAACAGTTTCACAGTTTCCATTTACTACAACATTGACATACTGAAGACCCCACCTCTTTGGAATGAGCTTGAAAAATTACGAGGTGTAATTCGTACTGAATTACCAGATCCCTTTCGAATTTGGCCAAAGAAATGTTCCAAATGATCCTGTGTAAGTCGTCGTGTCTTGATTCCCTGAAATCCTTCTTGATTAAGATAAAGGAAAAGGCTTTTCAAAGCCGAAATGTTGTTTAACCAACCGTTAATAAATTTAAAAGTTTTTGTTATATCTATTCCCTTTTCGTCAATAATTTTAATGGAAAGAAGTTTTTTCGAGGCCTGTCTAAGGAATTCCAACTGTTCATCGGAAGCATTAAAAATTGTTCCCTCTGTACGGCTATTGAAAATGTCAAAAAGATCGTTAAAAAATTCTAAATAGTCAGCGGTGCTCAAAAATGTTGAAGATCTAGAAGAATCTAATTTCCCTGAAGCTTGTAGTATTCGCATTCCGGTAACAACAGTACGGCTTAAAACTTGAGCTGCTAAGTTGACTTTCATTTTTTGGAAATTATTAGGATGAAT